AATTGACATAACTGCATATGCATAGCATAAGATCGTATGGACCAATGAGCATCGAATATTAAGCATCGAACACCAATATGGCGACTTAATACTCGATGCTCATTGGTACATACGGTCTTATGCTATGCATATGCAGTTATGTCAATTTGTGTGCGATAGCCCTTAAGCTGGTGTTACGGGTGTATATCAGTTGGACACGGGGCAATTGGACACAGTCCAATCACAAGTCGCTGTTCCAAGGGACCCTACAAATGTCTCTAATCACACGGTGCTGTGATTGGCTGTGTCCAAATGCACCGTGTCCAAGTGCACCGCTCCCGGTGGTACATAGAAAAACTTAAGCAGTAAGACGTAAGCAATAAGCGAACCAGCCAATCACAGTGATTGATTCTTGGACCGTAAGAAGAATCGACGACTGTGATTGATTAATTTGCTTACTGCTTACGTCTTAATGCTTAAGTTATTCTATGTGCCACGGCCTTTAGTTATAGCGTTTTTCATTGGCAGAACTGGTGCGCACTGAGTGCGCACTAAGGCTTGTTTACAATACATTTTCATATTTAAGATCGTGTCTTAATACATATTTAAAAATATTTTAGGTTATAAAATGATTCGTACGGATGTTATACATATTATATTACTGGTTAAAAATATTTGAGAATTAGGTAGTTGATTTTCAAAAAATGTTAGTTATTAATAAGTTTAATCTCATATATTAGGTGGTAAACTTAGTTCCTGTGGTTTTTTTGTTTAAAAAACTCATTTATTCCGACATCAAAAGCAAAAAATACATTAATCGAAGTATTTTCCCTCGCTAGCTATACATTTTCCCCATCTTTCGGGCAACGCGTAGATTCCGCGACGATAGAACGATTGGTCTTTTGATGCAATCTATTCGTCGATCCATTTTCGCACATCCTCGTAATTTCTGAAGTGTGTATCCACCAAGCCGTGCTGCATCGACCGGAACAAGTAATAGTCCGAAGGAGCTAAGTCTGGTGAATACGCTGGGTGCGGGAGAACTTCCCACTCGAGCTGCATCAGTGTTTCTTTGACGGCTTTGGCAACGTGTGGTCGAGCGTTGTCGTGCAAAAGCATGACTTTACGTCGATTGCTGGCTACTGCTGGCCTTTTTTCCAACAATGCTTCATTCAGACGGTTTAATTGTGATTGATATCGATCCCCCGTGATACTTTCGTTCGGTGTGAGTAGCTCGTAATAAACGACGCCGTGCATATCCCACCAAATGCAAAGCATTGCTTTGTGGCCATGAATATTTCTCTTTGGTGTGGATGTCGATGGTTGGCCAGGGTCTACCCATGATTTTCTTCGTTTAGGATTATCGAAGTATATCCATTTTTCATCGCCAGTCACTATGCGCCACAAAAAACTCTTCTTTTTCTGTCTGGCGAGCAGAGCAATAGAGATGTTTAAGCGAG